GGCCTAGCCGCTCCGCGGCATGTGGGATCTTCCCGGACTGGGGCACGAACCCGTGTCCCCTGCATTGGCAGGGGGGGGGGGGTGCCCCCCCCCCCCCCAGATCCGCCAATCAAGTTGGCAGGGAGTTTCCACACATCCAGGCAGAGGGAATGCTTCGTCTCCCAGCCCCAGACCACCTCGTGGTTTTAAATCATCCACAGCAGCACCCCGTGTATGACTGTTGGGATCCTGGGTCATGGAATGTCAGGCTTGAGCCATCTCAGCTCAACACTGGGCTGGAACACAAACAGAGGTGATGGCTTGTTAGCAAACACTCACGGGGAGCTCAGGGGGTCCCTGGGTTTGCAGACCTGCACATGCAGCTCCCTGGATGACCAAGGCCACTTGATAAAGACAAACACCCACCAAAGCCACCAGAGCCAAGAGATGCGCTGCAAACTGGGTTTGAGAATCTGGACAGGGGGGTACCTCAGGCAGGGTGACTTGGAACACAGGGAAAAAGAAGGTCCTCCCATTGGCCAGGATGATGGGAGGCGGCTCTGTTCCAGGAAGCTGGCTGCCTGAAATGCAGCAGCTGCGGTGGGGCGGGGAAGACCACATGTCTGCAGTTCAGACAGATTGCTGGGAGTCACTGTTTGTCTGACATATGGGAAGGGGGCGGAGTCAGAGGCTAAGTTTAGGGGCCCATCACAGGCACCCTAGAGATAGGCATTGAAGTCTTCTCTGGGGAGAGCCTCAAAAAGGGCCCTAGGGGTCCAGTTCGTATCAAGGGAACTGTTACACCGGGTCCCTGCAATTCCCAAGGACAGTGCTGGGAACTAGGCCTCCAGTCTGGTCGTGAGTCGGTATGACTCTTCAACTCTAAAAGGCGACCTCATGGAGCCTCCTATCCCCTTCCTCCAAGCCTCTCTCCCACGAACCCTATCCTCGCCCTCCCCTTTCTCCTGGGTTACCCAGTTCTGACTCTCTAGTCCTCCATTCACTCCTCCTTCTCTCTGCCGCCTGTGTGCCCCCATGCGTGCACATCCTGTCTCCTGGGCTCCCTAACTTGGCCCCTGCCTCGCCAGACCCTCTTTTCTCCCCCTTTCCTCTGCGCTAACAGTATCCCCATTCATTCACTCTCTTGCTTCTTGTGTCCCTATTCATCACCCCTCCTCCTGCTAGACCCCCGGCTCTGCTTCCGGCCTCCCTGGTTTTTCCCCTCAGGCCTCCGCGCCGGTCCCACCCCTCCCGAAGCTGGGGCTGGTCTCTCGGCCTCGCCTAATCCTCCCACTCCTCTCAGCTTACGGGGCACAGGCTCCAGCCTCCCTCCGCCCAGAGCCCTCTCCGCCGCAGCCTGTCCCGGTCCCGCCTGGCTCAGCCCAGCCCCGGGCTCATCCTCCCCTCGCTTCCTCGCCCCCTCGGCCCCGCGTCCACTCCACCTGCAGCTGCGGCTCGGGAGGCCGAGGCTCCGCTCCAGGCGCGACCCCCACTTGCCTCCATCCCCTGGTCTGATTGGCCGCTGCTTGACAACCGACCCTCACAACAAAACCTCCGGCTCAGAGCCTCGCCTTCCTCACCTCCCGCACCAATCAGCCGCCGCGAGCGCCCCAACCCCCTCCGGGATTGACCAATAGAAGCAGGCGCTCCTGCCGCTTTTCCTTAGTGCCCTCCCCCTTTTCCTGAATTGGACTAATCACGAGGAAGGAGTGTTCAAGAGCCGCCCCTCGGCCTCTAATGAACCAATGCGAGCTGCCGTGTCCTTGATCCCGCCTCCGCCTCAAGATTTCTCTGTCCTCCCCTTTCCATCTCTTCCGCGAACCTAGTTTGCATTTTCAAAATTTGAGACGCCCTCCAAGGGCTGCTGCGCCAATCCCTTTAGCAACCGTCCCGGATTGACCAATCAGCGTCCGCATTATTAGCAAACCAATTCCAGGATAGCCAATGGGAAGGGGACCTCGGGAGCAGCGTGACGCCTCGGACCTTCCATCTGGAATTGGAGCGAAGGGGGGACGAGGCCTTAGTCAGCACTTTGCGGTAATTCCTATTTCTTACCTTTGCTCCTGGGCGGTGTTTCCGTGCTCTGAAGACTTTGCCGCCCCTCCCTGGCTCGGACGCCGGCTTGAATCCCCCACAGGAGGCGTAGAGGAAAACGGAGTCTGATTCCGGGTCCGAGTCAGTCGTGGAGCCCTGGAGGGAAGCCCCTACGGCCTCGGCCTCAATGAATGGATGAGTCGGCTGAACCCTTAGGCGGACCACCAACCTGGAACCCGAGAAAGGCCGACTTCGTTTGGGACTCGTGGGTGGAGTGGGCTGAGGGAAGGGTCGTGACCCGCCGTGAATTGGGGCCGCTACCCACGGAAGCCAGAGGAACAGAGGCAGGGGTCACAAAAATGTCTTGGGAGGGAGCCACTGGAACCATGTTTAGAGGGATATCATGCCCATGAGGTCAGAGCTGGGGTTAAGACTGAGACACATACTCTGGACAAGGTGTATTTTCAGAGCTTCCAATTTCTTGTCTGCAAAATGAGGGTCATCGCATACCCACCGCCACCGCCACCGCCACCGCCACCGCCAACACCACCACCACCACCACCACCACCACCACCACGGCTAGGGTGGCCCAGCTCACAGAGTGGGAATGGCAAGCCCAAGGTGTGTGCCCCAGAACTTGGGGTCTTGACTCTAGACTGCAAGGGACTGGATCCCAGCGCCTCTTCTTATCAGCCACTAATTAGCCATCTGTGAAATGGGGATGGCATTGCTGTATTAAATAAGCCTTGTAAAGGTGGTCCCAGGCCATAGATAAAGAAGGGAAGGAGAAAAAGGCTGGTGCTGGGGCCTGTGAACCATGAGGTACAAATGGCAAATTACAAGTCTTTATTTACAGGAAAATCAGAAGCAGCAGGAACAGATGGCTGCAGGGAGGTGGTGTGGCAGCAAAGCCAGGTGCCCAAGTGGATGGTCATTAGCTGGGCATAGGGAGCACGTGGGCCAGGCTTTGGGGGAGGTTGCTTTCTCTGGCAGCTTCACTGAGGCCTCAGGAGGGGCAAAGGACCACAGGTGTGGGGACTGAGAAGCATCAAACAAAGACTTGCAGTAACTCCACCAGGCGTGGGTCCTTGTAGAGCTTTTCCTCCAGAGCCCGGTACTTCAGTGGGGCCAGCTCCTTGTGTCTGAAATCAGGGGAGGAACGAGAGGTGGTGAAGGCTTACAAAGCTAGTGCTCAAGGCTCCTAGTGGGTCCTCTCAGCTCCTCCGTCTCCTCACCGATTGAGCCGCTGCTCCAGGACGCGGATGCGGAACATGGCCTGAGAGCAGTAACTCAGGTACAAGTCTTCATCCTCGGGCGTCAGGGTCACCTGGTTCTCCTGATACCACTGCTGCTGCTGCTGCAGCTCCTGGGTCTCCTGTGGTCACCGGGGAGAGCAGGAGGGCTGATGACAACTGACTCTTAGGCTGCAGGCTGAACTCCCTACAAGGGTCGGACCCACTACCCCTACTGACAGGAGCCAGAGAAGCACAGGCCTGGAGCCACTGGGGTCTTGTTTAGAGGGATATCATGTCCACGAGGTTAGAGCAGGGGTCAAGACTGACAGTCATGTGACTCTGGTCAAGGTACATTTTCAGACCTTCCAATTTGTTGTCTGCAAACCCCCGCCCCCCCCACCACAGAGCTCTTTGTGAAGCTTAAGTTAAGAGAATGCATGGGAACTGCGTGGTGTGTACCTGACCAACAGAAATGGGTCAAGGACTAGGAGCTGTTATAGGGCTCCATCCATCCACCCACTGCTCTCTCCCTCCCTCCCTCCCTTCCACCCAATGAACAAGTGTGAGGAAGGACAACTCGGTCATTTGGACACCCCAAGCACTGACATCCTCCTGCCCCGATTATTCCCTCACAAGTCTGTGAGATGGTGAGCAAACAGCCCTGGGCCCATTTTCTGGTTGAGGATGCTGAGGTCCCCTCCCCTGCCAGGGCCCTGGCTGCACCTTTTCAAACCGGGCCTGGATGAGGTTGGCCTTGTCGATGAGCCGCTGCTTGAAGTCACTGAGGCACTCATCCTTGAGGCGCACGGCCTGCCAGCGCGTCAGCTTCTCTCCCGGTGGGAGCTGTGCCAGAAACGGGGCCAGGTAGTCCAGCTGGGCCTCCGCCTGCCAAAGGTGCTCCTCGTGCATCACGCGCTCCTGTGGAGAGGGGGCCGGGGGGGGGGTCCTCTTCATCAACGTGACCGCACAAAACCAGGCCTCAAACCCTGAAGTGCTTGAGGCCTCAGAGGGGCCTGTGCTGTCTCTTGTAGACGCGATTATTGGTAACAGCCAACTCTCGTGTCTTACGTGAATTCACGTGTCTCTACTTGAGCCCCAGAACATACCCAACACTCAGCAGATGCTTGCTCAGTAAATGGTAATAAAGAGTGGTTTTTAATGATGTTAAATCAAAAACTGCTGGTGAGTCCCTTTTTCTCTTCCACCTGGGGCCTTATCTATGTCCTGTGTTGGCAGCCAGGGGCCAGTGAAGTTGGAGATGTGGGGGCTGATGCCCAGCCCTGAGAGTCTGAGAACCAGACATCTGATGCCCTGTCCTATCTCGCCAACCTCAACCAATTGGTTAGTGAAGGGGATTTAGAAGCTGGCCTCGAAAACCAAGCTGGGTCTTGCAACCTGAGGCGGTAACGTGAACGCCCTATGCGCAGGGGTCGGATAACTCAGGCCTGAGGCCAGAGTCAGCTCGTGAGGGCTACTGGCCCAGGTCGTGACCTCGAGGAG